GTGTGTGGGTGTGAGTGTATGCGCGTGCGTGTGTGTGACTCAGTACTTGTTGTTCCGGTGGTTTTTCGTACAGAAGGTGACTCGTCTGCTCATGGAGCTGTTTTTTAATTTGAAGGAGTATTTTGCAGCAGGAAGTGAGAGGAACACAGATTCAAGTTGTTGAGACAATCAGTCTAATAAATAATATATTTATATATCACAACAAACTGTCTTCACGTCTTCGTCTGTGTCTTCTACGTGTGTCTCGGCACTTTGTCACCAGAGACACTGGTTTGTGTTTCTTCATGTTTGTGTCACGTGCTCATCACCCCCCCACTCCCTCCCGGTGAATCAGTGGAGGACGCTCTGCTGTGTATGTTTGTATTGTGTTTCATAAAGTGTAGAGTGTAGTAACCTTGTGTCACAACACGGAACCATCCGATTGTAGCCAACATGGTTTTTGTGGTTATGGTAAACAGTTTCCATGGTAACAGCAAGCTCCACCAGTCAGATACTTCTCTGCTACACTTGAGGATTGTGGGTAGTGAAGTACTTTTCCTTGACATCATGAATAAAACTAAATAAGAAAATATCATAGAGACTTGTGGCTTCTACAGGAGAATATCATTGTGGTGAGTCTCACTCAGATAGTTGAAGTATTATGGCAGATAATTAACATCTCTGTTCATGAATTGAATTTTACTCCCAGAAGCCCAAGGTTCAGCTCCGTCCTCCTCGTGTGTGGCTGACTCATACTATCACAGATTCAGGATCAAATATTCGTCTGTGAAGCTGGATTTTCCCTCATGAGGGGAAACTCCCAAACACATCCTCAGACCATGTGACTCTTATTCTATTTAATTCTATCTTTCAATGTCTCTCTCTGTAGATTTTCATGTATTTAGTTTGGTTCTATCCTCTGTTTGATTCTTTATATCTCTAATCAAACTACTTAACTCTACTGTTGCTTGTTCGTCGGTTGAGATTTTAAAATTATTTTTCAATGTGACTCTTCACCACACACGGTCTGTTTCTATGACACATATACAGGACGGGGTTTACAGGATGGTCTGTTGTTTACTGTGGTCTGGAACTGCTACAGCAAGATGGATTTAACTAAAGTACATTTACTCAAGTACTAAAAACACATTAATAACTCATACATATAACTGTAGGGACAACAAACCAGTCTCCTCTACCTGAGGTATGTCTCAGATGGGCCCGTGAGCCTCTGAGTAACTCACAACACGATACGAGGTTCATGGATCGTGATGATGACGTTCTCTGATGTCACCGATGGTAACGAGACTCTCGCTCTTTGCAGATGACAGGCTGACCAAAGACGGGGCTCAGATGGAGTTTAAATCCAAGCAGTGGTTCGGTGCCTCGGTCCGATCCGATGGAGAGCACATCCTGGTAAGAAACTTCTTCAATAATTCAAACGAAGGAAGCCACGGAAGACTTTTCAACTATGGCAGAACCTTTTGAGGAGGACACTTTAATGGGTTTTTTTCTACTTTATTCCAGTGTGTTTTTCAGAGCAGGCCTTGTTGATTTTATGTTCAGATTTTAAAACACTTTCATCCAACACCCTGTTCTCACACTCCAATATGCCCTGCCTGTGCTTAGATTTCCTGCGCTCCAGCTTCAGCTCTCCTCCTCACAATGCTTCTGTGCGCACATTAGACATCTGCTGTTTCCCTGCAGAAACCTGGAGCTCAGAGGGGTGTGGGTATTTATTGAATGTGTGTGTGTGTGTTTTCCAGGCCTGTGCTCCTCTGTACCAGTGGTCGACCTTCGGAGTCTCTGAGCGGGAGCCTGTGGGAACGTGTTACCTGAAGAAAGGAGGAACGGTGGTCGAGTATTCGCCCTGCAGATCAGGTTCCTTCCTCTCCTCTGTTTGTCCTCATCGTCTGTCTCTGTTCATGTGAACACATGTCCGAGGTGTTTTACTGCTCCCTGTAGTTGAAACTGTCACCTGTATCAGTCAGTCAAAACACCAGAGGTCAGCAGAAACAAGAGTCAATATCCCGTTTCCACAAAGGCAGATCAGAGCCGGTGCCTGAGGTCGATGGTTAGAGAGTGACGCCAACACTTTGCTGGTCTAGAACCAAGAACCACTTAGGTCATGGCCTGGTTTATCGTAACCTCAAACCAAATTTTTGTCTCTAGCAGTTGGGAAAAAAATGAATCATCTCACCTGCTGGAGAAATTTGAGTTTGGACATGAAGTTGAAGCAGAAACACAAAGATTCGATGTTGTTGTTGTGTTTTTTTACACTTGAACGTTGACAGGTCTTCACTGAATATCTGTAATAATGATCATCCATCTGATTCTCTTTCTTATTTATCATCAAATGTGTAAAATCTCTGTCCAGATGCCAACTCACCAGAGCGGCAGGGCTTCTGCCAGGCCGGCTTCAGCGTTGACTTCCTGAAGGTCGGTATCCAGGACGAATCAGAACACATCAGCTTTAGTCTGCTCATCTCCTCCACCAGGGAGGTTTTAGTTTGTGTTAGGTTGTTAGTTTGCAGGAAGTGTTCTCACATCAGCTGACTCTTTACTGACTCTTTACTGAGGGGCCAGAGAGTGTCCTCACTCAGACATTTGCGTTCTGACATAGCCCCCCCCCCCCCCCC